AAGTCAAATGTCTCTCACTAGAAAACATTAAAATTTTTAAATTAATAATTATAAAAAAACTACTCACAATTGTTCTTTATTATCCAAATTATTGATTTATAACATTTCTAGATTTTTGTTCCTATTAAAGTGAAGAACTATGAATTTTGTCCCTCAAAAAGGGATATAAGTGATCTGTGAAATTTTATATGCTAAATACTTTAGGGATCTATCATTACCTATAAGCAATAATTTTATTAATTAGAGAAATTATCCAAATTAGTAAAGGAGTGAAATATCATTCCCTAGGTTGCATTTAGAGAAATATTTTTCGACGACGAGTGAGTCAGTATGTGAAAGTCACAACAATTTATAAATATCTAGCATATATACAATAAAGACATGCTATGCTGACCTGACTGCGTGTTAAAAAAAAAAATTAAAATTAAAAATTGAATAAAAAAATAAATTTTAAATAAATAAAATTTATTAATAATTTATGAATATTATTTAATTAAAAATAAATTATATTTAAGTGTATTTTTATTGAGATACTAAAAAGATATCAAAATATTTTATAAACTTTTATAAAGTAACTAACTCATTATTATTTAGATTATTAGTTAAAGAATTATATTATTTAAAAAATATAAGGTGTCACTAAGCTAGTTTATATTAAATAAAACTAAGTTTTAATTAAATATTCTAAGTTAGATTTAGAAAACAATATTATACTTACCAATAGTTTAATATCAGAATTTCTAAACTATCAAAATTATTGTCAATAGTTTGTTACTATCAATTATTCTAAAAACAATAAATTACTAAATAAATAAAAAAAGAAAAAAAAAATCAATTTAAAGTATCTTTAAAATATTATTTTATCTATTTAATTATTTCTTCTTAAAAAAAATTTGCTTAATTGAATATTTTTCTTATATTATTTAAGTCTTGAAAGTGATTTTTTTTTTTGTTATCATTTGTAATATTACAAATAGATTTATTATTTAAGTAAGTATCATATTAAAATATCTCGATAAAACAAAAGATTCCAACTATATTTCTTTAAAAAAGTCTTTTTATTATCCAAAAAACTTAAATAAGAAAAGAAATTAGACTAGTTATATTACTTCTTACAATGTTTTTTAGTGTTATAATTATTTTACTGAAGAACTTGCTCAGTTAAATAAATATTATCTAGAATATTCTTTTTATATCATTACTAATATTATTAAATTATATATATAGAATCAATAAGAACTTGTTAACTTTTTCAAAAATTAATATGTTTTTATTAGTCAATTATATTTAATAAAAATTTATGCTATTTAAAATTTTGAATCAAATTGAAATAGACAAAATTTCTTGGAAAATTGTGAAAGTAAAAGCTTTAAGAGAATCAAAATAGTTCAAAAAAAAATATGTCTTTTGACTATATAAAACTTTTATAAAACTCATATTTTAAAGATAAAAAAGATCTTCAGATACTTTATAATTGGTTTTTCTTTTTTTAGAAACTTTCTTAATATTGATATCAAAAATGTTATTTGATTTTTCTTAATATTGAAAATTAAGTTTTTGAGTAAAGAAATTTGTAAACAATAAAAGAAGAATAAAATCAACTTTTGAAGTTGTATTTCAAGTTTTTTTAAGAAAGTATTAAAATTTTATTAGTAAAAAAATATAAAAACTTCTTGTAAACAACTTTTTTATTTATAGTTAAAAAATTAGTAAAAAGAATTTTTTTATATTTAAAATTTTATATTCTTTGACTATACTGTATATAAAAAAGATAATTGTCTGAAAGTTTTTTGATCTTTTGATTAATAAAGTCTTAATATATTTTTTAAATAATTTAAATATATCCTTAAAAATTGTTTTTATTTTTTTTTTTTTATTTACAGATCTTATAAATTAAAAGCTTGACTTTTAATAATTAAAAAAATCAGATAAATATTTTTATTATTAATAGTAAAAAAGTAGCTAAAAGAAAAAGAATCAGTAATAAAGTATTAAAAACCTTTTTATCTTTAAAACAAGTTATTTATAAAGATTTTTTATAGTATAAGAACTTATTTTTTCTTTTGTTAACTATTTTTATATCTTTAAAGTTTTTATTTTTATAATTTTTAAGAAATCTTGTCTATTTCAATTTAACTTTAAATTTTTAAATAATATAATTTTTATAAAAAATGATTGCTTAACATAAAATATAGTATATTAGGTTTTGAAATGTAAACAAGCTTCTATTAATTATAATTATATGATTTAATAAAATTATTAGTAATATAAAAATAATTTGAGAAGACATTTTTCTTTAATTAAATAAGTTCCTAAAAAAGACAATTATAATATTAAAAGATAAATAAAGAGTATATAATTTAATATTTTGATTTCTAATTAAATTTTTTAAATGATAAAAAATATTTTTAAAAAAAAGTTAAGATCTTTAGATTTTTATTCAATTATATAAAGTTGAATATTATTGATATTATTATTATTCTAGTCAAGTTATAAGTTCAAATTTTATAAATAAAAGATATAAGATAAGATCTTTTACTTTAAAAACTCAAAGTAATAAGTTTTTCAAATAGTGTATTGTTCTAGTAATCAATAAGTTTCTTAAATAATCTAAAGCTAAAGAATATTTCAATTAGATTAATCCTTTTTGAGAAAAAATTGTTTACTTGAATAAAATTCTTAAGAAAAGGTTTTGAATTGTTTTTTTTTTCTTCTTTTTCTTTTTTCCAATGTATTAATTCAACAATTCATAATTTATAATGACAAACTATTGAAAATAATCCTCGTAAATACCAATCTATCAGGAGAGTAAAATAATTTTCTCTAAATCTAACTTACTTCGAATACCTAATTGAAATTTTGGTTTGTTAATTTGAACTGCTTAGTGAATTCCTCATATTTTTTAAGTAAGATAACAAAGACAAGATGGTGGTCGTGTGAAAATTCCTGTAACATTGTAGATGTTTATTTAATATATCGATAGAGACACATCATGATGGCACGATTGAGGGATAAAAAAAAATAAAATTTGACGAAAAAATATCAATATAAAAGATGACGGTAATATTCATTAATGTAATGTTTTTCAGCTTCTTCAATCAAGCTTTAAAAAAGCCAACAATAGCACTTATCTTTCTTCATACACATGTTTAACTACAATATTATTCCTGTCCACCTTTTGACAAAATAAAATCTTCTTCTCGTTTATTCGCTCGTTCAATAAAATTTTGATTATGCTTTTTTAATAGCGCTATCTCTTACTAACTACTTTTTCTCCGAGTGTCATTGATTGACGCAATAATTAAAGAATGGTATGGTTTAACTACTGTCTATAATACTATATAGTTAATTTAGTCTATATATATTGTGATCTATTGGGATTTTATCTGCGAAAGATAAATCTACTAAGAAATTCTTTAAAATAGAATTAAATCATTAAGGGAATTAAGTTTTATTTATCAATATATCGTCAATTTGATGTTAAGTTCGATTCGATTCCTATGTTTCCTCACTATTTAACTTTACGATACTCCACTGCCTAACTTTTTCGAATACCCAGAAATTCAAACTACCCAAAGGAACAATTATCCACATCCTGGCTGACGTTCCCACGAACAAGCCTTTAAAACCTTCGGTTTTCACAATACTGGAAGCCATATTCCACCATTTTAAGTCACCATGGCCAGCCTTACGTGCAATCTGTATTCTGGTTTTCACTACATCAAATGGAGCGGATGTTAAAGTCGCAATAATTCCAGCAGCTACACCTCCTGACACCGAGAGAAGGAAATGAGATGAATGCAAGAAGGAAAGATGATGCTTATTTCGATGTATTTGTTCTAAGGTATATGAATAAGTGAAAAAGTATGCGGGATAGAATGACATCGTGTTGAGTAGACTGGCGGACCAGCCGCGATAGAGAAAATGGTGAAGCGGAACATCCTTTGGCTTCAGGTTCAGAATGAGATTTTTGGTCGACGAAATTGAGGATAATACAGAGTTATTATTAATGCTATTCAATGATTTTATATTATGAGGAGTGAATGAATGTTGAATTTGTGATGTGGTAGTAGAGATTGCACGTTTTGGTACTGCTGAAGATGTAGACGAATTGTTGTTGTTCAGAGATGTAACGTTGTTTGTGTTAGGAGACGGTGGTTTTGAAACTTGGAGATGCTGTGAGACCACATCGAAGGGAACCATGAAGCTAGATGTAGTCAGAGCGCTGAATGTTCCAATGAAAGCATTGATCGTAGTTGGGCTAGAACCCTCCAACCATCCAAGTCCTACGGTGTTGCCACGACCCTTATACACTCGGTCTCGTAACGCATCATACGTAGAAAAGTGAACCAAACGTCCACCGATACTACCAATTGCATAAACACCAACACCTTTGTATAAACCGCGAAACCCTTCTGATTTTACCCTTTCAGCAAAAACTTTTCCAAGGAAGGTTGTTGATGAGGTTCCGATATTCGATTGTTGAATAGTTTTTGCCGTTCTTACGGGATAGAAGAGATACACTGGTACAAGGTTGAGGAGAAACCCATATAGATAATATCGCCTGAAGTCTATGACATGATCTGAATCGAGGAGTTGAATATTCATCCTGTTTTATTTTCGATCTAGAGAAAAATCAAACGAGAATATCTTATCCAGACCAAGATTGGGTTCTCCGGGAAAGAAATTTATTAAATACTTTCGAAAAGGGTCATATGAACCTTTCATATTTATGCAGATTTCGTCGCACAAATACAAGGCTATGGCAGTTGAAAAAGGGTAATATGCACATTATTCACGTGCTACATATTTGTTAGCAATATATGTTAGCACCTGACCCAGAGTAACGGAACTATGAGTTCAACCACTCATACTTGCGTGCGTGGGACACACGTTTTGTGACCGTCCTCTATTACGTACATTATAATATATGTCGATGTACAATTATGTAATAAAAACTCTTAAAGGAAAGAGGATTACATATGGTTTACAACACGAGACACTGCGCTTTGCACAACACACTCACTTCGAGTTATAAGATTATCTTATCTTTTGAGAAAATTACCTGATTGTCGGAATAATTGTTGCTAAATGTTTTTTCATCTGATAATGAATATTGTATAAGGGGAATTAAAATTTGTCATTTGCATCACACGAGAATACTAAAATCTTATCCGTTAAATATATATAGTATGCACTGTGGGTTTGGCTAAAAGTACATAATACTGTCATTGATCGAATAATGATTAATAATCCAAATTTCCGAATTTTTAAGTACAATGCACAATTGATTCTTAACTTTAAACAAAAAATTTTTTATTTTTAACGAGTTTTTGCAAACGAGCAATGCATTAATTAATAAAAGTAAAATATTTTATTAATGATTGGTTTTTATTGAATATTAGTTTAACGAACGTAAATAGTCTATAAACTATTATTTAAAATTTTCAATTATTTGAAATTTTTTTAATTATTAAATGATTCTTTTTAAAATGATACCTTTTGATTTTATTAAACAATTTTAATTAAATTTAAAAAAATCAAATTCTTTTATTATAAAATTAAGTTTAAAATTTAAAAATTTGCTTATACAAAAAAAAAAAAAAGTTTTTAAACTTACAATCATATACAGTATTTCTTTATTGAGATATTAAATAAACATCTTCAATATTACATTGATGAGAAATTCATTAAACTAGTTTGAATTAAATAAAAAAAAAATCAAACTAGTTAATTCAAGTTAGATTTAAGGAACAATATTTTATTCTTCTAGTAGATTGGTACTAAATTTTATTTATTAGAATTATTGCAAACAGTTTTTTATTATAGATTATTTCAAAAAATAATGAATTATTAATATTGAACTGAAAAAAAAAAAATAAGAAAAACAATTCAAAACTTTTTTAAAAGATTTTTAATCAATTTAATAACTTTTTAAAAAAAAACTACTTAATTAAAATATTTCTAACTTTATATTATCTAAAAAACATAGTTATTATTAAGTAATAAAATCTTTTTAAGAATATTTAAGAAACTTATTTCTCAACTAATATATAAATTTACTTATTATATCTTTTATATTAGTGTTATACTAAAAGAATTTATCTAATTTAAATAAAAAATCACATAAAAAATTTTGTTTAATTAAAATAAAATCAAAAAACTTTAGTTTTATTTAAGAAAAATCTAAACGATTTAGAAAAAAAAGTAAAAGTTTATAATATATAATTATTAAAAATCAAACTTTAATCAAATAAAAAAACATGTTCTTAAAGAAAAACATCTTTCTGCTAATATTTTGCCCACATATAAAAAAGATGTTTACAAGAAACTTTTTATTTCTTTGCTAATAAAATCTTATTATTATTTCTAAACCAACTAAAAGTTTTACTTTTCAAACTTTTACTTTTTATATCTATTTTTAAATAAAAACTTAATTTTTGTAATTTAGAAAAGTCAGAAACATTTTCTCTATTCACAAGAAAAAAAAATTAATAGTATAGTATTTAAAACCTAAACCTTTCATTTTCTGAAGAATTTTGCCTACTTCAGTTTAACCCTGAATTTTAAGTATTACTACTCATTGCAAAATATGATTGGTAAACATAAAACACATTAGTAACTAAATATAAATAAGTTTTTACTGACCATTTCACATATTCTAATAATATCATTGATAAAAGAAAGAGAAATTATTAATATAAACTCTTTCACTTCTTTAAATAAAATATAACCAAAGTAAAGAAATCATGAGATTATTTAATTGAGCACCAAATTCTCTAGATAATAAAAAAATAGTTATTTGTTCAAACTGAGATTTTTAACTTCTTATTATTCCAATCAGACAAAGTACACAAAGGAGATTATTTTTTTATTCCAGTCAAGCTGTAATATTAAAATGTAGAAGAATGTGAGACACTGTTCTTCTCTAGAATTGAAAATGCATTTTTTTAAACATTATAAAATAATATCATAATCAAACCTTTCCATAATTACAAGACAAAAAGATTGTTGAGAAATCTAACATTTTAAATAATAGAAGATATTCATCCGTAAAATTTCTTTGATTAGGCATAACTGCTAAAAGATATTAAAAGTTATAAAAGAATCTAAAGTACACTATCAGTTATTCTATTCTATATGGATAAATACAAAATCAAGTCCGAAAGAAAGAAAATGTCAAACAAAATATTGGATCTGAGTAAATAATAAGTATCTCAAATAGTTATAAAATAATAATCAAGATTACAAATATATAAGTTCCTCAAATAGTTAGAAAGAAAAAGAAGATTTTAGAAAAATTGATTTCTAATAAAAAAAAGTTCCCAGTAAAGATTTTTTAAAGAAAATAAAATACTTTTATTTTCTTTTTTCTTTTTATTTTTATGTAATGCAGTGCTTATTTTTAGATATTTCTTTTTCCTTTTCTTTTTTGTCTTTTTCTTTTATAATTTTTTGAAATCAATTTCTAGGAGAATAATAAACAATAACAACCTGCTAGAAGCAATGAATAAATTAAAAGTGTATTTACCTAAAATTTATCATAAAGTGAAATATTGTTTTCAAAATTGTATTTAAAGACTGAAGCTCTTTTAAAAATTGAAAGCCATTAATAAATATATCAGTATAAGATTTAGTTTAGCCATAATACAATTGCCTTATACAGTATATCTTTATCAATTTTTATAATGATTTTTTTTTCCTTTATCAGGCTAGTTACATATGTTTTATTAAATATTTGTAAGCTGTATATGTAACATGAGGCACTAAAGCTAATTCTTTAATTAACTCACTCATCTTGGTTGCGTTATCTTTCTAAATACAACTTCAGAAGTAATTTATCACTTCATTAGAAGTTCAAGTAAATATCCTTCCAACTTCTAATATTATTGCCTGCAGATCACTATTGCAGATTACTCTTTTGAGTTCTGACAGAAATTAAAACCCAACTATTTCATTCCATACTTTACTCCATCTTGCAGGACCTGTTTGAGCATCGTATTTTCTATTTCTTCTTCCTTTAATAATACTTGATATAACTGATTTCCTGGTACCTTGGTTCTGTTTATTTGTCTTTGTAGATATATTGGTCTTTTGATCTTGTCACCTCTGTTAATTCCCAATATCTGTTCCCCCTCTATCACCTTTTCACATCTAACATTTCAAATTTACTTTCTAAAGTGATTATGTGTTTTCTTCTGCATCTTTATTATTCACTTTCTTGCTTTTTTACCAATTCTCTTTTCATAGTACTTTGAATCTGCTATATTATTCATTAGGTTTTTTTCAATCAGTTCTATGCAAAAGCTAAGTATATCCCAACCAGTGTTTGAGATCCTTTTCACCAGTTGAGCTATTTTCTTATCCATTTCTCCTCTTTCTATTCTGTTATCAACTGCTAAACTTATTTCTTTTTCTTCTGACTTCTTTTTCCTATCTGTCAAGAGTTTGTTGAAACCTTGCATCATATCTTTCATACTTTTTTGTCAGGTTTCTTGCCACTGAGTTTTATATGCTAGACATTCTGGCAAGTATTCTATTGTCTCTTCCTGCTGTCCATATGCGAGACATTTTACTTGCTTATATAAGTCTGGTCTTCTTGTGGCTAGCTTTGTTAATGTGGGTAGCTTATTGCTGGTCATCTTAACAAGAAAGTTTTTTCTTTATGATCCTTTGAAAGAGGTATTCTATATGTGTCCATTATTCATTTGTTCCCAAACTAGGTCCCATGTGTGTCTGTGCCAGTCTTGGATTTGATGACCCACTTTTTGTCTATTCTATTTTGGGTTGTTCATTGATACGTCATTATTTTGGCATTGGTTTTTTTAACAAACTGCCTTATTGGAACATCCAGTACTATATCTTGTCATTTAATTTCGGTAATAATCTTAGGCGAGTCCAGATTTTGCTATTCTATTATTGGAAACTTCAATACTTCTTTGGCTAAAATGTCTGCTTCCTCATTATATTGAATATTGAGGTATGCTTTAATCTTGATAAGATTTAAATCTAATTCTTTTTTCTTTACCAGGCTTAACATTCATGCTTATAAGAACCAATTTTGTTCCTTTAGTCATCTTTAGTGAGTTTTTTTGGGATTCTCCTTTTCTATTGTTTTTCAATTTTTATAATTATTAATAAATATATAGTACTGATCTGGTTATGATTTTAAAAATAAATAAATAAATAAACTTTAATCAAATAAATTTATTAATAAAAAATATATATATATAATTTTAAATATATTTTTAAGCTTTTTAAGAATAATAATAAGATTTTATTAATAAAAAATAAAAAAACTTTTAATAAATATCTTTTTTATATATAATATAAAGAATTAATAAAAATTTTTTTAATTTTTTTTTTAATTTTTGTTAGATATATATACTTTATATTGAAAAATGTATTTCTAAAACTAAGTTTCTACCTAACTCACTTATATCTATTTTAAGAATTATTAAATCTCTAAGTGTAATATTGAAAATGATTTATCACTCTGTTAGCAATTCAAATAAAAATCCTTCTAACTATTAATTTTATTGTCTGCAGGTCACTATTACAAAATTTTAATTTTTTTTAACCTTTTATTAAGTTACATAATTATATAT